AAGTTGCCGTGAGTGGTTTCAAAAGTTTAAGAACGGTGAATTTGACGTCGAAGACAAAGAACGTAGCGGAAGGCCGAAAGTGTACGAAGACGCGGAATTGGAAGCATTATTGGATGAAGATTCGTGCCAAACGCAAGAAGCATTTGCACTTACATTAGGAGTGACTCAACCAGCATTTTCACATCGCTTAAAATCGTTGGGAATGATTCAAAAGCAAGGAAATTGGGTTCCATATGAACCCAACTGAAGCCGAGAAACGTTGAACACCGATTTTTCACATGTGAAATGCTGCTTGCCAGGCATAAACGAAAGGGTTTTTGCACCATGTAGTCACTGGTGATGAAAAATAGATCCACTACGATAACCCAAAAAAGAAGAAATCATGGGGACCACGTGGCCATGCTTCAACATCGACAGCCAAGCCGAACATTCATGGGAAAAAGCTCATGTTGTGTATTTGGTGGGATCAGCTAGGTGTCGTTTATTATGAGTTGCTCAAACCGAACGAAACCATTACTGGGGCTCTCTACCGAACACAATTGATGAGATTGAGCCGAGCACTCAAGGAAAAACGCGTCCACTACTACTCCAGACAAAGTTATTCTTCTGCATGATAATGCTCGTCCACATGTTGCGGCGCCGGTCAAACCTACTTGGAGACACTCAATTGAGAAGTTTTACCCCACCCGCCGTATTCACCAGACATTGCTCCTTCTGATTACTACCTGTTTCGATCGATGGCGCATGGCCTGTCTGAGCAACACTTCACATCATATGAAGATACAAAAAATTGGGTCGATTCGTGGATAGCTTCAAAAGATGAAGCGTTTTTCCGACGCGGTATCCGTATGCTGCCAGAAAGATGGGAAAAAGTAGTGGTTAGCGATGGACAATACTTCGAATAAAACATTAGGTACCGTTCTTTCACAATAAATGCTCAATTTTTGATAAAAAAACGGCGGAAACTTATTTATACTCCTAATACTATAATTCTTAATAATAATAAAAGAAAAAATATAAACCTCTTTAATTTCAACGAGATGTTTTGAATAAAATAATTCTGCTTGTAAGGTTATAATAAGATGGGGGCAACAATGTTCCTCATCTTATTATAACTGGTTCAGGAGATAATGATACTGTACCCATTTTTTCTAATTAACTTTCAACACAAAGTGAAGCTTTTAAAAATACTTTTTTTACTGAAGATATTAATTTGTTATCTGATTGGAAATGAAAACGTATTTGTTCCATGACTCTATTTAATCCATGAATTAAGCAAATGCAACAAATTAGGATAAAATATTTTTAAATGATTACAGCTTTTATCATACAGTACTCTCCTAAGTTGAGAACACCCTACGTTTTACAGGTTAGTAATTATTTCGTCTTTTTTCGATTAAAGATTTAATAACGTGCTATTAAAATATAAAATTTTAATTAAAATGCGATTCATACGAAATCTGATTCTTTGAGATCATTTTACAATTTTTACGGAGTCTGAAATCAACTTACGACTCAAATAGTTTACCACTTTTATAGAAACTACCATTAAACTACAATTAAATGGCCTGTGTATATACAATGAACACAAGTACAACGTTGCAAAACAAGTAACAATATATATATATATATATTATATATATAAAATCAGATCAAAGCACGAAATTTAATCTTGAGCCCTTTGATGCTATGAAATTATCGTCCAACATATTTTCGGCATGTACAAGCTTATAAGTATTCTAGATAAATGTTTATTGTCATTTAGATGTCTTATGAAGTATTTAAACCAAAAACATGTATAGATCATTGTTATGTAATAGCTTTTCTGTAAAACGTAGGATGTCCCTAAACTTATGGAAGGTACTCTATATACAGCTGCATTTGTGACAGTAATAGTATTTTTTCTCCATTACCATTTGGCCATAATGTCAACAGTAATGTATTGATAAATCGAGTAATAGTTGCGTGATTCGTTTGTTCCAATTGTTTATATGCAAGTAAAAATATATGGAATTCCTCATCTTCGCATATTTTTCAATAATTAAATTAGCTATATAACAATCAGAATTATCTGTAGTCTCATCTACAGAAATCTAAACATAATTTTTACCAATACTATCACGAATTTTTTAAATTTTTCTATTGTAATTATATTTATTAATTAGTAATTGTATTTTTTTGAGATAATTTTTTCGAAGCGTCGATTTATTAGAAATTTTTTTATTTGTATATTTTTTCAGAAAATTATTCCATATTTTATTATCGAATGTATGCCAAGGCATATTTACAGCCACCATTGTTTCACACAATTCATAACAAAATGATTTTATATTATCTTCTAAATTAATATCCAAATCGTGATTTTCAGCTTTGTTGCTGTTGTGTACTGCAGTGTTTAAATGTTGTGTCAATTACGATTTCACATGAAATCTTGAAAGCAAAATTTATTTATACTATATAATTAGATT